ACAAATTGGTATTTCATTTATTTGTGAGTTGTATTTCATGTCAGACATGAAGATTAATGCATATTTTTTCCTGTTGTTGTTTGTGGACAAAAGCTGTGTTTCAGTTCATGAGCATCATTTACAAACATAGCCTAGAGCTGGCTAGAAGAGAAATGTACAGGCTGTTGTGTCAAAAGCTCGCTTCCTTCCTGAAGCGTTAGCAGACCTTTCAGAGATTTATGTTGTGTTTTTTTATTATTATTATTTATTTTTTTTTTCCCCAAAGTACTGACTTTTCTTCCACAGAAAGAAAAGTCTTTTGGAAGATCTCTCCAAACTGCCAGTCTTTTGGAAGATTTCCCCAAACTGCCAGAAGTCAGGTCTTCAGGTAGTTATGGTGAAAGCTGTGGGCTGCACAATTAAAGGATAGTGCAGTTGAAATGGTGCCAAATCCATCCTAAGCACAAGCTTTTCACAAAAACACCACAAAAGTACTTAGTCTGACATTGCCCATTACACTTTTTTCTAATAAAATTGTTGTTATTTTACCAACCCAGTTTTCAGGGATTTAGTTCTTTTTTTGTAGACACAGTCACGCTGTATTTCTTTAGCCAATAACTAGGGCCATGTGAAATACTCCCTGTCAAATCCCAAACCACCAGACTCCGGCCAGGTTTCAGTTTTCGTTATGAACTCAAAATTCAGACCAGGATGGTCTGTTGAGGAAATGGTTTGTTAAGGTTCACAAACCTTGCAAACAAACTTTGGCCCTATTTTGATTAACCCCACCTCTAACGGGAGGAGGCATGTTTGAAAACCAGGTTGAAGATGGCTCCTCCTGATGCATTTCGCAGGCCTTAGTCTAAGCCAAGCAGACAAACCAAGCCTCCACTCAGCCACTGCTTCTGAACAAAATTTGTAGTGCGGTCTGGCACTCTTTACTTCTCAGATGGTTAACCTATGTTAGAGCACAGCACTGAAAGAGCCATTTCAAATGATTTTGAAACATGCCTCGTTCTCAGTATAAGCATGGAACTAGCTAATCAGAGCTGCATGGATATAGTGTTCAGGCTTCTTGGTCTCCATCCAAGGGTACTTGGAGCTTGAGGTTTTAAGTTACTGCTTGGTTAGTTATATATTCAAAACAGAATGACAATTTTAACTTCTAACTAAGCTGATAAAAAATGAAAACTCCCCTCACCCTCAATTTTAACACTCTGAAACAACTCTCACCATTACAACACGCAGTGCGTGGGGGTGTGTAGGCATGACGCACATACTTTTGCTTTTGTTTTTTGTCTGTCCTGGTGTTATATGCCTGAGACATTGTTTTATCACTAGATGAAAGCCTTGGCACTGAAATATTGCCGTGTGGCTTGCATTAGTGATAGTAATAGTCTGCTCCAGAATTACCCACCCAACATGCCTTTGAATTTATTTGATTGAATTGACCCGTCGAGGTCTCAGACATGGCTAATCTTGTTCTCTGGCAGACTGTCTTCATTAGGACATGGCAGGATCCTGCAGAAGCAGCATTCTGCTGGGATAGTGTCATTTTGCAGTATGGAGTGCTTGCAACCAGTAGGTTTGTTTGAAACCTGGCAGCACACAGCACTTTTATATGAATATTAGGGTGTTTGGGGGTTTTGTTTGTTTGTTTGTTTTTCTCCTCAGTGTGAACTACCTCAAAAGCTGCGGTTCCTTCTATCAAGTCATACTACCTGTGATGCCAAAACGGGCAGACTGTATGTGAAGGGAAACTAAGTCTTGGAGAGGCACTAAATCCAATATTGGTTGTGGCACTGTTGAAGCTAATTCTGGCTGGCAAGTATGAATGAGACTGAGTAATGCTGCAATCTGTCACCTCTCACCCTATGACATCACCCTATGACATCCCATACAAAAATAAAACATATCTGAAAAAAGTGTTAGAAACTGGTATGAGGTTACTTGCTTGATTTGAAACATAGAGTTATCAAAGAAACCAGCCCTGTTTCAGTTCATCTGTATCCATGGAGTAGCTTCTATGATTGCTGTGGGTTTGTAAATTGTCCATGCAAAATATTTTCCTCCCTTTTTCTCACAATATCTTAGTTTATCTATACATTCAGAAGAATTCCAAGTTTCCGTTCTTGATGTTCTGTTCAAGTTTGTTTCACTGTAGTGAGTCACGTAAGAGAAGTCAAACAATTTATTTTTTTTATGTGTTGCAAAATGGTTGAACTGTTTCCATCTTAGGGAAAGAGGGGAGGAAAAGTGGGAAGACGTACCTAAGAGGGAAGTAGAAGACTTGAATCACATATATCTAACAGTGAACATCAGAATCTTATCACAGAATCACAGAATCACAGAATTTCTAGGTTGGAAGAGACCTCAAGATCATCGAGTCCAACCTCTAACCTAACACTAACAGTCCCCACTAAACCATATCCCTAAGCTCTACATCTAAACGTCTTTTGAAGACTTCCAGGGATGGTGACTCCACCACCTCCCTGGGCAGCCCGTTCCAGTGTCTAACAACCCTTTCAGTAAAGAAATTCTTCCTAACATCTAACCTAAAACTCCCCTGGCATAACTTTAGCCCATTCCCCCTCGTCCTGTCACCAGGCACATGGGAGAACAGGCCAACCCCCACCTCTCTACAGCCTCCTTTAATGTACTTATACAGAGCGATAAGGTCACCCCTGAGCCTCCTCTTCTCCAGGCTGAACAAGCCCAGCTCCTTCAGCCGCTCCTCATAGGACTTGCTCTCCAGGCCCCTCACCAGCTTCGTCGCCCTTCTTTGGACCCGCTCAAGCACCTCGATGTCCTTCTTGTAGCGAGGGGCCCAAAACTGAACACAGTACTCGAGGTGCGGCCTCACCAGAGCCGAGTACAGGGGGACGATCACCTCCCTAGCCCTGCTGGTCACACTGTTTCTGATACAAGCCAGGATGCCGTTGGCCTTCTTGGCCACCTGAGCACACTGCTGGCTCATATTCATCCGACTGTCCACCATCACTCCCAGGTCCTTCTCTGCCTGGCAGCTCTCCAACCATTCCTCTCCCAGCCTGTAGTTCTGCTTGGGGTTATTGCGCCCCAGGTGCAGGACCCGGCACTTGGCCTTGTTGAACTTCATACAGTTGACCTCAGCCCATCGGTGCAGCCTATCCAGATCCTCCTGCAGAGCCTTCCTACCCTCGAGCAGATCGACACACGCACCTAGCTTGGTGTCATCTGCAAACTTACTGAGGGTGCACTCAATGCCGTCATCCAGATCATTGATGAAGATGTTAAAGAGGACCGGCCCCAGCACCGAGCCCTGGGGGACGCCACTAGTGACTGGCCTCCAACTGGACTTGGCTCCATTCACCACAACTCTTTGGGCCCGGCTATCCAGCCAGTTTCTAACCCAACGAAGCGTGCGCCAGTCCAAGCCAAGAGCAGCCAGTTTCTTGAGGAGAATGCTGTGGGAGACGGTGTCAAAAGCCTTGCTGAAGTCAAGGTAGACCACATCCACAGCCTTTCCCTCATCCACCCAGCGCGTCACTTTGTCGTAGAAGGAGATCAGGTTCGTCAAGCAGGACCTGCCTTCCATAAACCCATGCTGGCTGGGCCTGATCGCCTGCTTGCCCTTCAAGTGCCGCATGATGACTCCCAAGAGGATCTGCTCCATGAGCTTCCCTGGTACTGAGGTCAAACTGACCGGCCTGTAGTTCCCCGGGTCTGCCCTCCGGCCCTTCTTGTAGATGGGCGTCACATTTGCTAGTCGCCAGTCAGCTGGGACCTCCCCCGATAGCCAGGACTATCTGCAGATTGAGACATACACTGAGCATATAAGCAAAACATTTAGAATTGATTGAAATAAATATTTTGATCCCAAACTCATAAACTGATTTGTCACAATCACTGCCAGAAGATGTTCTTCAGATTAAAACTATCTGGAAAAAGGTGGCAATTCACCAGGTGGTGGAATGATGGGGAGAGATCAGGAACCACTGAGGCAAAGAAGGGAACTGATAATGGATACTGAAATGGAAGAACCTAGCACTAGCCAGGAAATTACAACTGGATCAGAAGATAGCTGGACAGGGGAAAGATGAGGGAGAGGTAGAGGTGTACTAAAGAGAAGTTGAGATCAGGAAGCAAGGAAAAAGTGGAAGTGGCTCGGTGAAGACTTGAGGGCAAACAGCTGTGGAGAAGGTAGGTATGAAGCCTGCATGTACCCTATGGGTTGGAACACAGGAAAGAGAGGAATGGCATCATTATGGGTCAGATGGGCAAGGGAAGTTAAAACAGAGTGGCAAGAATGAGCAGGTGAGGATTTACAAGATAAAATGGGAATTCAGGCTCTCTAGACAATAAGACTGAGAGAAAAAGAATGATTTTATGCTTAAAAAGACTGAGGACTCAGGTTTGTTAGGCAAGGAGAGAGACATACTGGGAGCAGCCAGCAGAAAGGTTTCATGATAAAAATGAAATTGCGATCCTGAGGCAGCAGCAGGGAAGAGAGAACTAAGGCAAAGCTGTGTCAAGGAAGGTAAGAAAGGAGGGGTAACGCTGTCATGGGATAGACAAATAGCCAAGGAACATGGAACAGTACATGCGATACCAGTTCCTCTGCTGTCAGCAAATATCTGCTTAAATGCTAGCAGAGAGTGTGTCATTCTACTTTAGTGCTGCCAGGAGGGAGGTCAACAACCTATTGCTATAAGCCATTCCATTAAACTAAATTTCTTAGATCTGTGTGGAAAATTTATATGCTCGACAGTGTAGTACTTACAAGTAGTTACATGATGGAACTTCTGCTTTTTCACTTTGCTTTCTAAAAACATCTAAAATAAAAGCCAAATTACACAGGAAAAAAAAAAATATATTGAGTCATATTAAAGTTACATTTAAGCACCTGAAAGTTTTAAAATTTCCAAGGCACTCTGAACTTTGCCATCATGATTACATTTCCCTACCCTATCCCATAAATTTGTTCTCTGATACCATCTTTAATTGCAGAATTTGTGTTTTTTTTCTTTTTTTCCCCACAGGGCATTTACTCACCAACCTTCTTTGGGAGTGAATCAGGAATGAGTACTGGGGCAAGGTATTGTCTCTAATATTCTTGCTTCATTTGTTACAAAAATTGTGAGATGTATAATGATAGAACAAGGAGGGTATGGGATGAAAAAGACCAAGTCATACAGCTATGATGGTTGAATACTGGCTCACATAGTTAGATTTTCTCCCTTTCCCTTTACCATTCGGTCTCTGTGCCTTGCCAGGCATCACACTTTTCCACAGGTGGCCACTAATTGTGTGTTCCTCATTTCTGGGGTCCTGACAAGAGACTCTAGGGTCTGTTTTGCAGAAAAGCTGAGTATTCGCAGCTGCAACTGGAGTTAGTGGTACTAGTGTTTTAAATGCATAAAGGACCATGTAGCATTATATACCCCAAAATATTCATACAATAAATTTTGAGAGAACTGATTAGTGAAGTCAACTGGCATGAGGAATACAGGGATTTGAATGTGGGGAAAGTTTGGAATTTCTCAAGTCAAAGGTATAAAACTATCTGTTACTTGGATCCCAACAAGGAGGGGGAAAAAGACTTATCAAAGATGGCCCTAGCCCTAACTGCATGAAGAACCCTCTCAAAGGGGATATTAAGAGTACGTGTGGAGCTTACAAGGAATGGAAAAAAGGATCAACCAGCAAAGAAAACTATGTCTTGGAGGTCAGTAAATATAGACACAAAGTGAAAATTGCCAGGAATCAGACTGAGTTGTACCTTGAAAATAAAACTAAAGCAAGTAGCAAGTTCTTCAGTCATAGAAATAAAAAGAGAACAAGGGGGAAAAAAAAAGACTTGAGGGGGAGGGGGAGATGGAATGCTATAAGAAGAAAGAATATATCAGTGATTGGATTTCCAAGGTGATGATGGGCAAGATGACAAATAGGAATGAGGATCTGGAGAAACCAAAATGAGGTGAAGCAAAATTCAAAATATTTACTACAATAAAGCGAGTAGACTGGATAATATCCACTTATGAATGCTGAAAGAACTGGCACATGAAATTGCAGGTCACATGCAAAGTAATTTCATAAGTTTTTAAAACAGCAAGTGCCAGGTAGCCAACAAGAGTAAATGACACATTACTCTGAAATTGTATTTAATATTTCCAGTAAATTGAAAGCACAAATCTAATGCTGCTAAAAGGAAGGAAATCTGATTTGGGGAATTTACTTACCTTCTAAGCTTACCTCCCTAGTATGCAGCAATTTAGATTATATTTTAAAGATAAGAACAATTATAAATTGTGGGGGAAAGGATTCAATTGAAGCTAGGGTGTACCAAATTTTGTCGTGCCAGGATAACTAGATATATGCATTTGATAATCAGTGGATTTAGTTTGCATCTACTTCACTGAAAATCTCTTGCAGATTATATACAAATAACATAAGTACTTAAGAGGCCACAGATATGGAGTGACCAGTACTGACAGCTGGTGAGAGAACACAAGTAGAAGTCTGCAAACAAGGTTTACCTACTAGAATGTTTTCATAAATGATGCTGGCTCAGACTTAGCCATATGGTAATGAAATTTGCTCTTGACTTCAAGATGGGAAGCACTGACAAAAGAAGGAGGGATCCAGTTATCATATATGCAGAATTGTATGTCACTGAGGACTGGACTATTTGTGAGGTCATGCACATAAAGAGCTAAAGCCAGGAATTTCTGCTCTAGGCTAGGAGCTCATCAATTTTCCTATGAGTGAGGAGGAAAAAGGTTTGGTTTTACATTGTGAAAACAAATGTTCATGTCATTTGAAGGAGCCTAGGAATTAGAAAATGGAAGTCTAAACTACATCAGGAAAGATAACTGCAGTAAAAATAGGGAAGTCCTAATATTATTTTAAAAGGCACAGGTAAGATCCAGTAGGGTATACCAGGCATAGTTCTGTATGCTGAAATAAGATGATTTGAACTAGAACCCATGTCTGTCTTGTAAGAGAAAATAAAAGTAGCTTTGTTTGCTTTGTCTGGTAGAAAAAGAGGCGGAGGCAAAGTATGGTTTATCTCTCTAACTACATGTGAAGAGGTGGAGCTGGTTTGAAAGTATGGGGGAAGTAAGGAGGGTAGTCAATACTAGATTTCAAGAATTCTCTAAGCTAAAGGAAATTAATGGCAAAAGAAGGCACAGATATGAAATACTCATATATGCATTAGCCTAGGTATTAGCCTGATGAGCTTTGTGAGCATCAGAAGGGTACTGATAACCTTCTGGCAGAAGAGAGATGAGCAAAAATACTGTTCTGCAGCTGCATCTAGCAGCCCCCCAGTGCATATTGACTTTCCTGCTACCTCCTCTCCTCTCCTCTCCTCTGACAGGCAGCAGCCCGGATTCTTCCCACCAAGCTCCACGCAGGTTGCTACATGTTGCCTTTAAAATGTGTTTGTTGTTGCCATGTCCTTTGTGCCAGTACTTGCTGATTTTCTGCAGCCAGACATTACAAGTACATAAGTCACAGAAGAGACGAGGAATCCTGTCTTGCCAGCCCATTACAGCCTCATAAGTCTCACAGATGTTCAAATATATTGGTTTTGAAATGAAACTCCCACTATGTGGTTGAATTATTGCTGTTAGTGAAGGACCTGCCTCCACCCTATCTGGCTTCCCTTTATTGTTCCGTGGTGTTTTCATGGTTGTTTGCGTGACTGGCATATCTTATTTCCAGTGATGGCTTAAGCTCTTTCAGAATTCCCAAATTCTGGGCTTGATTCCATTTATCACAACATGTGGAGTTTCTACACTTATTCCACAGAAATATTCGCATTTTTCTCTACCTCTGTCTTGCATTTGCTGTTACCCCACAGCAATAGGCTGGGTCAAGCTTGAAGGTCCGTCCCTAACCCAGTATCTCATTTCTGAAGATGGTCAAGGCCAGATGACTGAAGAAGGGTGTGGGAAGAGGGCAAAAGTAGTGAGACTTCCTCAAAACACTCTTCAGCCTCCAAGAATTTGTGGCTCGGGTAGTTCCTGAGCCAGAGATGGGGCCTTTGTTTTTAATAGCTCTGATGGATTTTTCTTCTGTGAATTCGTTCATGAATGTTTAAACGCAAGTTAACTTGTGGTATCCCGCAGCATCCTGTGGCAAGGAGTTAGCTGGCTTTACTGTGAGTTAAGAAAGGGGAAATCTACCTTTTTATTTGTTTGAAAAATGTTTCCTGCCTTTCATTTGATGCCCTCTAGCTTGTATACCAGAAGAAATAGTGTGTAGTTGTTTCCTGTTTGCCATGTTCATGCCACTTGTGATTTTACAGACATTTATCATGTTGTCACTTAGACTGGAGTCTTAGTCTATTTAATCACTCCACATATGGAAGCCAGTCCATACATTTTGTCAGCCTTCTAATCATTCTCTGTGCCTTTACCAGCTTTTACTGATTGTTTGGGCATAGTGGGAAGTGTGGTGGTGGTTTTCTCTGGTGCAGTTTGTACTGGGGCTTCATATCCAGACAGAACTGACAGGTGAACTAATGGCACCTTTGCATTCCCAAGAGCTCAATCAGGTAGTGTTTTAGCTCTGAAAACTTTAATGTGCCTCTCTCCACTGCTCAGAGAAGTGCTCTGATCTGCCAGCTTTGCACGGTCTTCCTCAAAGTGCTTAATATTGTTCCTGTTACTCCCTCCCTTCTGTCTACCTCTCCCTTTGCCTGCATGCATTCGTCCTCTCTGGCCTTCTACAGAACCTTTCTATGCTGAGTGCCCCCATCTGAAGTATAACACACATCTCTAAAAATTAAGTATCTTCCTAACAAATAAATACGACATCTTCAAATGCTAGCAGATCAGAACCTGTCTAGTCTACCTCTCCCAACTTCACAGCCCTTGCATGCCAGCGCCTGGTTCATTGTCACTTCCTATCAGTTTCTCTGTATTTCTCTGTATTTCTACTCCCAAAGCCCTAGGACTACTCCTCCTTGTTGTCTCCTGTCCTCACAACCCCTGCGTACGCAAACTTCCATGGCACAGTGGTCAGAACTTCAATGGGGTGATGTCCCATGCCTCTCAGCGTTCAAGAGGTAGTTGGATAAAGCTGTTAATAATATGCTTTAATTTTTGGTTAGCCCTGAAGTGGGCTCAATGATCTTCGTAGGTCCCTTCCAACTGTTCTGTTCTGTTCTAGCACCCTGCCTCAAGCTGATGATCTTGAACTTGCCCTGAAGGAGGAATCCATGTTGCCAGTACAGGAGACACAGCTCATGCCCTCAGCCCAACTCAACTTAACAATGCACCAGGAAGGGAAGGCATAGGAAGGTGTAGGCAGCCATCCAGCATCTGCATGCACATAGAGATCTTCACCATAGCCACAACCTTTGGTCCTGTTGGTTTGCTATCCTTGTGCCACCACCAGCTCAAAGTGAACTCAAAGCATCTTCAAGTGCCTGTCAGAGAAGGAGAGAAAGCTTACAGGTAGGAAAAACAAGCAAAAGAAAGCAGGAAAAGCAGAGACAATGTTCCATTGCTTCTTTCCCTGCTCTTTCTTGTAGTCATTTTGAGGCCACACAAGTGAGCTATCCCCATCTGAGAGCTACTGCCTTCTCTGCCCAACAGACTGAGGAACTTTGGGATATTCTTACTGTTTTTAGGGTCCATTCAGGACCACCCCTGTGTGATATCATTGTATGTTAATTGTCTAAGGGAGAGCTAGGAGGAAGCAGAGCCCAGAAAACGAACGGGCCATGAATGTAAATCAGTGGTTTCCCCCTTTCATCTCCTGGTCTAGGCTTTGCTTTTATCTCTCTGCTTCTCAGGTCTGACCAATATCTCTCAGATCAAAAGATGTCTGGCTTCATCTTGTCTGCATTCAGATACTCCTAGTACTTGCTTGGGAATTGGTTGTGATTGTTATTGTGAAATTAACTGGATAGCCTGTTCTTGTTACCTTTGGCTACAGCAATAGTGCTGTGGTGAACTACACGCCTGGTGCTTCTGAATCCCTCTAGTTAGTGACAGGTTTAGTACTTAGCATAAAACTTGGGTAGCTGGGTTCATGACAACAATATTTAGACTCAAAGTTAAATGTCAAATGCAATGACAA